GATGGATAGGTTGCCGTGCGTGCGACATGCTAAAGCAAGTCATTGGATGGCTGTTGGGAGCGGGTAAGATGCGCCGCGCGCAATTGCGGTCCTGGTTGGAAAGCTGCTAGTATACGGTAGTGCAAAACGGCCATCTTCACATATCCAGTGCTATATTCAGTCAAAAAATTTCTACTTTTCAGATGGACGCCATAGTTACCCTGGGTGATCGTACCAGAAATATGATAGCGCGAAGTGCTCCGGATGTTTCCGTCAGCAGGAAACCGCTTGGCACGGGTGTTCGCATCACAATCCCCACTCTAAACGCTACCATCGACAATCGTTACTGCATCGATAGCCGTAAAAGCTGCGATAAGAAACGTGGACGTTTCAATATGTACATCCCTGTCTCGCCTTATCTACCAACGCTTCCGCTGGAAATTGTCTTCACGTAGGTTTTATTTGATTTGAAGGTGATGAGATCTTTATGCTAAACGATAGCGGGGCCCTTGACTAAGCAGTGCCCTAAGTCTCGCTGCAAAGATTAAATTCCAAAGCGAAAAAACCAATCTAGAAGGTGGAAGCGGGCACGTTGGCTCCGCCCATCAGCGTGGGTGGTCCGAAGTTAGCAAGACTTAAACTGGGCTTTAGCGCAGAGAGAAAGCTCGCAAATTCTTGGAATTAGTGAAGGGCGGATTTATGACAATGCTGGATACATAGCAACCCAAGTTTGGATTGTTTATCCTCACACCACTCACTTTGATGGGCGGGGCCACCTTCAGATTTTCCACATTTTGGAGTCATTTTCTCGCGTAGAAATCCATCTTTTGCAGTGAGACTTGGGCGATCAATTAGTTAGGGGCCCCGCTAATTATACAACGTCAAATTGTACCAAGCTCAGTTTGGGTGAGGTCCTTAAATCAAAGTTTCAAAGTTTCGCTATCACAGGGTCCCGAAAGGAAAGCTCATCAACAACTGTGGCTATTTGGCTGACTTCCAGCACAAATACTGCCCTCTTCAAGGTGATAGTTTCAAGGCAGAGCGTCTACAGTATCCAGTAGCCAATCAGGTAGCGAGTCTTACCGTACCGTCAAGACCTATTCAGATCTTTTCTTTTCAGCTAGCACACGATACTTTCGAGTTATCAGTGGGCAGTTATCTACAATCAGCGTATCGCTTTCGTGTTGGATTCACAACGGAGTCATGCTTTTCCAGTGAGGAACACCTTCATGGAGGTTACGAGGAGTACAATCTAATTTTCTACCGTACTTGTGCGCCACCGACGGGATCCACTAACGCACCGTCGGCTTGATTTTTCTCTCCCCTTCCCCCCTCCCCCTTGTTAATCAAGCTTTTGTATATTGCAGGGAGTCTGTTGACTACTAATCTGAATATTTCTTTCCCTACTGCTTTTGATTTTTTTATGCAATATTTAGGGGCAAATTGTTGTTTTTTCATATAATTTTTATGTACTGATCGTCTTTTCGCACCCGTCTGAAGTCATTTATGAGCTTCTTCCCTTTGCTCCCCCCCCTG